TCCTGGCACTTAACAGCATATACAACATTGCTCTGTTTGTGCCGGGGCACCGGATCTTTGGGGTGAACCAGCCTTTGCCGTAATGTGTTTTGGGGTTTGAACGACAGCCATGTGATGTGAGTATCAGTCACATGGAGGCAGGACTTAAAAGCCTGAATTTTGCCTGAAACTCTCAGACTGAAGAAGTCTCTTGGAGGAGAGACGAAACGTTTCATTAGAGAAGAACCCGTCCAGAACACCTATGCAATTTTTTTCTTTTTGATTTTTTACCTGGATTACTGAGATGCATCAGGACATTATTCAAAGTAACGAACCGAACTGAGCCTGGTGCGCCGCAGCACGGTGCGTGYCGGATTCACTGTTTTGTTTGTCCCATATTAAAGCAAAGATTAAYCTCCGTTTAACGTTGACCTCCTCATCCTCACCAGGAGAACATGGTGCTGTTCTCCTGGTGAGCGTGTTTCAAATGTTTTTGTAGTTTATTACTGTAGTTTCATTTTTCACTGCTTGATTATATTTAGAACCACTGTGACAGAACTGCTCTGCGATAAATGTAATTCAATAAATGTTCAAATATGTAGAATAAACAGTATTAAATGATTACATGAGCTTGAACAATTTAAATAATTGTTAAAATAAATCAGTCTAACTAATAAAAAGTATTTTCAAGTTATTTTGGTATAATAGACAGATATTTGCTATAATTTTCAAATAAATAATTAAGATTTGTCTGGTCAAATAAAGGTCAATAAATAAATATGTCCATCCGTCATTAGTGTTCTAACCAGTTCCAAACATCCATGAATCAGTTTTTCATAAWACAAGCTGACAAAACTGACAAAAGTTATTTTCTTTATGTCACCGTTGTTTGGCACAGAGTTAGTTTATGTTCTGAWGGCTGCATGATGTCATGTCAGTTTGTTRTGAGTGGACCTGTCATTAAATCAGGCAAAGAAATTCCTCCTAAATTCTCTGTTGGTGGTTATCAGTATTTTACCTGTTTACTGGGTAAAGTTTTTAATGTTCTTAGTTTTAAACATGCAGTTGAGGGTCATCATTGCTTGGCACAATGGCATGTTCTGTTACAAATAAACTGCATCTACTGAATTCAAAATTTTCTGGGGGAGGACCCCCCACCCCCAGTGAGCCCTTCACACACATTACAATGTTTTTAGAGAGAAAAAATCAACACAGAGCAGGGGTAGACATAACCATTGTTTAGGTTGTCCGAGACAACCTTTTTTCATTTCAGACAACCAGATCCTGTCTCCTGGTTGTCCGGTGGATAACCAAGAAAAAAAAGACCTCGATTAAAGTTCTGTGTCGCAGGTGTCTGTCATTTGTAAAAATGAAAGGGAGAAAAAACTTGGTAAAGCCTGACAGAACACTAAACTGTAACTTTTTATAAGGTCATGTACACAGGATACTATTATTTAAGTGAAAATGTTTGACTTATGAGCAGAAAGAAGTTTATGAATGTTGGGTAACCTCTAGATTTTATTAGTAGTATTTTTGCTGCTTTACTCCCTTAGCCTTAAATACTCTATTTCAAAGAAGAGAATAAGGAAGTTTATTCATGCAGATCCTGCCAACCTGGCTGACTGAGAACTATTATATATAAAAAACTTTGTCTACACAGCAATATTAAATACATTCAATTAAAATTACATTTTTCTAGAGAT